TTTAGTTCCGGATCAAAATTCCAAATCTCTTGGTAGAACAAGTAATTCTGTTTTGAAGGTAGTCATACAGGCTTTTGTTTTGTGCAGCATTTAAAGATTTATTGCTTTAGAATCAGTGCGTTTAAGTTTCCTTTCCATAAGTAATAATAAAGATGTGGTGTGCGGGATCTAGCACATTTGCTTGGATCAGTAGACTTTGCTTACACAAATTGATGAAGGGGATTTCATATTAGATACTTGATGATCTTCATATAGAGAGCACTCGGCTTTGTGATTGACTTATGGGCTATGCACTTTCGACTTCAAGTGAGGAATGCAGTCTACTTCTTTTCGCAGTTTTAGATGCAAACATGCTCGTGGGCCTCTTAGTCATTGCATTAGTCTGTCTTCATTTTTGGGCTGCACAATACTTACATTGGCAAATAAACTAGCTATAAGATTTACTGTCAATGATTCATGACGTTTGCCCACGGAAGTATACAGATGCAAATGGATTTTTTAGAGCCTTAAATAGAGGTGCTGAAAAAATTTGTGACACCCCTTTCAACTGATAAAAGTAGTTGTTGCAATTTACATACCTCTTTCCATTGTAGTATCTAAACCCTGTATTTTTGGCTGCGCAGACTGAAAGATCTTCACCAGAGGTGTACAAAAGAGATGGATGCTTATGTTGGTTGCATGTATTACCACACAAACGAGTTCGATTTATGCCGCAAAGAGCAGCAAGCCTTTGAAAAGGCATGCCCGTTGTAATTGAAAGGGGGGGTCAGTACCTCAAAGTCTCGACTCTTTAATAACTTAGAGCAGCTTGCAAGGAGCAGATGCTGCTGTGGTTCAAACTGTGTCTTGAATGTTGTCAAGATGTTGCGCTTGAGCAGGTCAAGTTAGTCTTTTTTGAAATGTCTGAGAGCAATAAGTCTACTCCTTTGCGGTTAACTACTGATGAACGCATTCCTTGTTGAAAGGTTTTGTGCCAATGCTACCTTCCGTTTCCATTAGAGGTGGCAAAATGGTGAATTATTGAATTTTTTGGTAATTTATTTATTGTCTAAGGGTGCGCTCGTTTCACAGAAAATGAGTAATTTGAAAAATATTTTTCGAAAAATGATCGCTTATATCGTTTGAAAAATAAATGAATAGAAATTTTTTTCGTTGCCCACGAAAATAGTTAGGCATAGATTGTTATTGGTGATGAAAATGTTTTCCTTTGACTAATTTTACTAAACGATAGAAACAATCTTTTTTTAGAAAATATTTTTCAAATTACTCATTTTCCATGAAATGAAACACACTCTAAGGATGCGTTTGTTTGGGAGAAAGTGTTTTCCGGGAATTTGTTTTCCAGACTTTTACCCGTTTGGTTCGCCGAAAATGATAAGTCAACTAAAAACACTTTTCGATCAAGGAAACATTCATGTATAAAATTAGGAAAGTAAATTCCCTAATCTAAAAAGGTGAAAAACACTTTCCGAAATTATTCATCTTGAATTTGTTAATATTTTTCTTTTCTCTTCTTTTTTCTATTTTCTTTTTCTTTTTCTTGTCTTTTTCTTTTTTCCTCCCTCAGCCGGTTGATGGCCTTTCTTTTTCCAAAATAAAAATAATTTAAAAAATATAAAAATTTTCGATAATTTTTACCATCAGATTTTCCTCACCAAACAACTGAAAATATTTATGAAGTCTTTTTTAGGTTTTAGCCAAACATCAGAAAACGAACTCATTTTCCTTGAAAATGACTTCCTGGAAAGTGGTTTCCAGAAATTGTACATTTTCCGTGAAATAAACGCGTTCTAAGTGTTACAAGATTTGAACTAATTGAATATGTTGATCTCGGTGTCTCTAGCAAGTGAATAAGAAATAAATGGAGCTTTCCACTCGCATGAGAACATTTCTTGCATTATTTTTTTTATCCATTTCAACCTTTTCTCCATTTTGAGCGTGGAAATAACACGAGTCTTTTGTAAATATAAATTTTTTATAGGGCGTTCCATGAGTTTTAAGTCTACCGAATCTCGGTGCCCATGCCTTTGAGTTATAAAAGGCTACACATTGCCTACGATTTTATATATATATATATCGAGTTTTTTTAATATATCTGCATCATTGTAAATTTGTGAGGACTCAAGTCTATTTTTTTATATTTATTATTTTTTGTATTTATTTTGAGAATAGAAAATTTCCAAGTTTTTTCGATTCTACCTCAATGGACATCGTAGAGGGGGGGCGGCGGCTTAATTCAATGGACTCGGACTTAGTTCTTCGGATGGATTTGAGTTCGATCCTGATCAGGTTGACTAGTTGTGTACAATGTGTAGTGCAGGTTAAAGGTGGCCTCCTAGTGCATCTAGACGCCACTCTCCTTACGTGACATCGACGATTGATATCTCTTGCAGTCTCTTACGCTGGGGCGATTGAGGCGCGATGACAGTTGAGCGCGTCGAGGCATCAAGACATGCCCGCTGCACCGAGGATGTTCGCACTATATTTCGACCAAACGATTTAAATTCAAATGACCCATCCCAGCAAATTGCATTGACGTTGGGTTCACTTAGGCTTAGGCTGGCATTTGGTAGCCTAGGCTGCATTTGGTTGCGACAAAACCGGGTTGTTCCTTTGAGGTACAGAGGGGCACAAAGATCGTCCCGTGGAATTAACATTCCTACGCAAATGGACAACTAACGCACGATAGCAAGATGACCATTGAAAATCGACACAAATGCGCAACTGTTCCTGTTCCACACTTGATTTGACGAAGGCGACCATCAAATTAGCAAGAATTGGCTTAGTTACAAGGGGAGTGTCTTCGGATGATCACAAGGAAGACAAAGTAGCTCGTTACAGATCGACCGCAGTTAAATACAGAACTGGGACCAACTCCGGGGACCGGGTAACTCTTAGGACCTCTTTCCGCCTAGGGGTGAGCATAGTCCGGGTGGGCGGTTCCCATCCCGGAACCATGGACCGCCCTCTAAGGACCGGTTCCAAAATATTAGAACCGAGAACCGCCCGCTGGTTCCATGGACCCACCCGAGAATCGGACCGCCAATCCGGTCCAGTTCCTGGGTGGGTCCATGGAATCAGTCCCACTAAGTTTTCCTGGACAAATAAAAAAATAGACTAGTCTAATTCTTGACCCGTTGGTGGGTTATGTTCACCACATGCTACTTTGACTTACCTTAATGCACGTGTGATGTATCTTCAGTATACACAGAACACCCCTACTTTGGCATTTGATTTCACTAGTCTGATGCAGAAGTCATGCACTTCCATTTAAAATGGTCTGACAACTTGCTCAAATCTCAAGAGTTAAAAGGCTCTCATTTAAGCTAACAAATTGAATGAGCTTAAAACCCTCCAAAACAATAACAACAAGATTTGCCACAAAGTTCAATTACACATCACAACAAGATTTGTCACAAAATTCACAACTTCACAAGCTTCACATCAAATACATCCGTATCCTATATTATATATCACACGTAGGAGTTTACCACAAGTTCACAATAGTCAACAAGCAAACAAAACAACTCTCCCATTTTCTTTTCTTTTTTTAATTTTTTTTGGTCAGATTTTTTTAATTAAAATTTTAAAAAAATAAATATATTATTATTATATTACCGATCCGGTCCAAGTGGGCGGTTCCACACTAGGAACCGGGAACCGGACCGGTTCCCTTGGGAACCGGACCGGTTCCGGTCCGATTATGGGCGGTCCCAGGCGATCCGGGCGAGTCCCGGTTCTTTTGCACACCCCTATTTCCACCTACTCGGATCTTGCTAGAAAAAGCTATCTGATGAAAAAGGGGCCCTGAATTTTCCATCACCCTGATGCTTTCTGAATATAAAAGAGGAAAACACAAGGAAAAGAAGATCCTGACTGAGGTTGTGGCTAGGCTCACAAGGGCACCACGACAGTTTCAGCTCAGCGACTCTTTACAATTTGGAAAAATCCACAACGGGCATTCTAGACAGTAGACGCTTGATACCACACAGTTATCTGGTGTCTTAGCCCAGGCACATTAAACCGACGATAACGAAAAACCAGGCACACGTATAAAGTTAAGAGCCATGCATTAAGGCCAAACATAGGACTTAAAAGAGTCACCAGCAACCAACAACCATCTTGCACTTGACGTTCACAAAGCTCAACTCCAACAAAAACGTACAAAGCATTTCTAAAGCATATAGACTAATCCACGATATTTAGGATTCAAAGAGAGCAACAGGATCTCCAAAAGGACATTCTTCAACGTTCACTTTGATACTTGGAAGTGCACTTTGCAAAGAACCATCACCGGCATACCACCATCTTGACTGCAAGCCCCGTGCTTGTTACTCAGGATGCTCTTAGTGCGGGCTGCACAGGAAATGCCCAAAAGAAAGTACTTCATTTAACAGAAAATATGCTAACCGTAGATACTAGCACTATGCCATCATAAACCAGATAAATCCACTAGCTATTGGTTAGTAGTAAATGGAAATGTGCTGAATTCCAACAACATAACGAGGGAACATGCTTCATTCATGCAAATTCAAAGTATTAATACTTTTTCCCATAAGAAAATTTGAAGTAATCTACCTTCTTTATCAATTTTCTTGTCAATGGAACAGCACATGTGTGTCCCAGCAAAAGCAATCACCTGATAAATATCAATTGCTATAGGTACGGCACCTAAAACTGTATAAAATATCAATAAAGAACGCATCGTACACACCTGAAGGAATCCTCACAGATCTATCTCAACATAATAACTTAGGCCATTTATTGTCGACCACTAAATTTGCAACATAAAATAATTATCAAGTTTCATGCCAACCTAATTGCCAAGTTCATATTAAAACAAAACGATTCTTTGATGAAATGAGAAATTATTTGACAATTAGCTAGAGTGCATGGAAGAGACGCATTGTTCCAGACCAAGACTTAAAAACAACAGATATACCTGTAAGACCGCGAACGAGACCCTGAAGGACCGTGAATATTGCCCCTTGGACTATGGGACCTGCCTGCCGGATAACCCCTCTCCTGAATGGGACTTCGACTATCTTCCCTCAGACTTGGAGACCTCTTACTGGACCGCTTAACCTTGTGCTCCCGAGGAGACGGAGAATGTGATACAGACCCAGATCGCATTGGAGAGTGATACTGGTCCTTTGCCCCACGGCTCCTGGTTCAAGGAATTAGTAAATATAACATTGATCCATTTCAGATGGGAAATGATAGCAATGAAACATAAAGATTCCCATACATAAAACTGAACACAATCTAGGGTAACAAAAGATCTTACGAGGAAACATTACTCAGCTTGAAGCATGACTTTTACAAAGAAAGAACAAAATACCATCAGCAAAAGCAAATAAAAAACGAAAATCTGTTTTGCAAGTCAAGAAATCATACTCAACTTACAAAATCATATAAGCATCAACATGATGGTATCACTATCTAACTGATTGAAGATGACTTTTACCTGCACCTTTATAAGAGTTCCGTACAAATTACCAACTTGGGCCCAAATACTGGAATTAGTCTCATTAACGATGTACTGGCACGTCAGCATCCAACAACTGCATGGCTCTCTTTGGCCCAACTTTCTAAAACCTCAAACTATCTTTGACAATGTCATCATATCTCTACACCGGTATTGCTTCCCTTGATTGAGGATGATTTCTTTCTTTGGCCAAATAAAAGCTCTAGTTCTTTTCTTAACTGGATGGTATATGCAAAACAAAATAAAGCTTCAAAACCTTTTCATTAACAACTATGTTAGATCACACAGAAAGAACAAATAGTGAAAAAAAGGCACTTTAGTGATTTAATCATCTGCTGACAGTGCTTTACTAATCAGTTCAGTTGCAACTGCAGGCCACCAGACCTAGTACGCAAAAGCCCATGCTTTCTTGACAGTAATTGGCGAAGGTGGGATAATAACATATAGAAAAGCTTTGACAGAACGGTAAGGGAGTTGTCCATCACTGTCTTTTCTCGTTTAACTTTATTTACCCATAGGTCTTTAAAATCTTCCTGTTCACTTTAATATCTGCATAAACAAGGCCACAAGCAGATACTGTTCAATACCACAGAAATGATGCTGCACTGCATCAATCACCCCATATCGATAAAAACCATTGTAGTATGAACATTATAGGATAGAGATGCATCACATTACTAATACCATAAGAGGCCAGTAAACAAATAAATTTCCCACATTACAGCAATCTGCCACGCTTAAGTCAGCAAAGTTTTCCTTTCAATTTTACAGGGCAACTCTTTTTCATTCATAAGCATAATGTGAATGATCGACAACTAAAACATCCCAAGAAAAATGGTTGGCTAGGACGATTGGTCACCTTTGCCATGCATTTAGCCTGTCTTGGATATTTCAAGAAAAGTCTACTATTTCGATAGATTAAAGTTGATAGTTCACTACAGTCTATATCCAGAATAGACCAATAGCTTCTATCTATAAGCACAAAATGTCCAAGAGAAGTAAAAAACATGAAGTTTACCTATTTTAACAAGAGAAAATGAAGAATGTATAGCTTTCTGCTCATAATCTAGCTAGGGACAAAGTCCCATACCACAGTTATTACGAACAAACAGGGAATACAAAACACATACCACTGTAAGGAAAAGAGAGTGAAATTCTACTGCTCTAATACCTTGGGCAATATTATCCACTAAAGTTCACGAAGGATAAGAATCTACAAAGAACTCAATCTACCTTTTATTTAGCAAGGATTGAACTGAGATAACTTGATCTCCCTTTCATTTACCAAAAAGATTGAAACTACAATGCACAAAGCATTTATAGTTGAAAATAGATATAAAAAGTATAAATATCACATCATACTTGACATACACAACTTCAACAAATAAAAGCGAAAGAATGCCACTAAGGGTTCTGTATATTCTTCCCAGGCCAACGAGGCACCCTTAGTACTGTAAGATCCTAATATGCTCAACTACAGTGTACTTATCAGTTATCATCCCAAAAGAGGAACGGGAAAGTGTAAAACCAGTAACAGTGCAATTAAATCCACTCGGACAAAAATGCCGAACCTTGAGTCATGCCTATCTGGTGTTGGTGACCTTGAGTAAGCTGTAAGAAAATACAAAAGCAGAATAAGATACTCCAAACTCACAAGTATGTCCAGCATGACAGACTACTTTATTCTTTGTACAACCCAACGGAAGAGAAAGCCACACATCAGAATGGACATGATGTCAACGTTACTGACAATGATTATGGCGTCTTGGAGATCTTGATGTACTTCTCCTTCTTTCCCTATGTCGCCCACTTCATTTAAAAGGGGGGGTAAAAAGAGTGAATCAAAAAAAAACACCCGTCACGAATTGATAAAAACAAATGCCATAAAGACAGCCCAGTGAAATGGAGAATGCAACAAATCATACCTCACACGATCAGTCACGCGCTCGCTCACGCGCATCTCATGAGGAGTTTTTCTGTTCTCCTCAGCAAAAACAATTCTTATCTCACGTCCTCCAATAACAGTATGATTCATTTGCTGCTTAGCCTCAGCTGCATCTTCTGCATAACGGAACTTCACAAATCCAAAGCCACGAGGCTCCCTGGTAATGCAATATACAATCACTGAAGTTACTAAATTACATGCCCTGTGATTGTCAGAGATGAGATATAAACAGATCAGCAAGTAATGGATCTCCTCCGTTCGATTTTTGTCCATTTTCGGAATCACAGTAACTTAATACCAAAAAAAGAAAGTATTATACAGTATATTAGTCTGCATCAGAAACCAGCCAAACAGCAAGCCTCTAAAAAATGGCACTCACATTGTAAACACAGGTAAGGGAAGCCCGTAAAACAATGGTAATATGGCACACTCACTAATGCAGATATCTTGTGACAAGTACCATCCTTTTTTGGCAAAAAAGGTGACAGGTACTATCCAAATGAATTTATGTAAGCCCGAAATGGTTGAACCCATCATTCTCTCAAGAGTTCTTTAGTTCATATGTTTCTTCAATCACATGCAGCTTGGCAGCTCAACGTATTCCGAATTAGTATTCCAAGGGAAGGGATGCAGGACAGGGAGAATCAACTAAGACAGCAATTCTTCATCCAACCAGAAACCAACACTAAAAACAGGTTTCTTCACTAACCACATGTCAAACAGAAAAAAATAGTAGCTGCAAATTGGATAGTCCAGCATGAAAATTTTGCAACAGGAAGTCGAGTTTTAGAACCGTGAAACTAGGATAGTATATGCTACTTTACACAATCTGCAGAAGCAATGTGGGACAAAGCAAAGATTATTATGGTATCGATGCATAACCTAACTTTATACTCATGAATGGGGAACTTATAAGTCCACACCTATACAGCTCATAGTTACTACTCCGCTCGTCAATCAATTGGCTGCTTTCGAAGTGACCGTGCACAAAGACAAGTTACTTCCATCACTAAGTATGTCAGCAACATCAAATATCAGCACAAGGTTCTTGCCAGACTCAGATGTACTACCAACACCAGACTGACAGTTCACACCGCATTAAACCCGACATACCCCGTGTAATAATTCTTAGGAAGGTAGACATCCTTCACAGGACCGAACCGCTCGAACGGCACCCTGAGATCTTCCGCCCTGCAACCACGACAGCAACAATTAGCCAAAATAATTCACGTCGAAAGCGAATCCACGTCGCCCTCCGATGTCCGAACACAAGAGGCGATCGGGCAAAAAACCACCGAGACAGTACTCGTTACTCGTACGCCACACACTTCAACGTCACTCCCGCCAAGCGAACAAGCGAGCGAGTACGAGGATCCACAACCCGACTCCGGCATCCAAAAGCAGGAGGGGGGGGAAGAAAGACCTGGTGTCGAGGGGGAGGTTGCGGAGGAGGAGGCCGGAAGGAGCGGGAGAGCGGCGGTCCCGGTGGTAAGCGCGGCGGTCGCGAGGGTCCTCGTCGTAGCCGTGGCGCTTGCGGGCGCGGGGGGCCGGGGGGGATCGGCTGCGGCGGCGGGGGCTGAAGCTGCGGCTCCTGCTCCTGTACCTCGCCATGGGCGGCGCTCGCCGATTTGGGCAGGGGATCTCTGCTCGACGGTCTCCGATGTGGGAGAAACCCTAACCCTAGCAGAGGAAGGTGGGGTTGGCTTTCGTAGTTTTGGAGGGAGAAGGAGCAGAAGAAGAAGAAATCTGCGTACGGTAACGTTTCTGTTTCTCGGAATAATTTCTTTTCAGAAATAATTTTTTATATTTTTATTTTCTGAAAGAGTTTTTGAGCAAAATAATACGTTTGGTAACTGCACAAAATTTCTATTTCTAGAACAGAAATGTGTTTAGTAACTGCACAAAATTTCTATTTCTGTTAAGATATGGGTTTAGTGGGTGGGTTGGACATGGATTCCAAACTCAATCCATTTAGACCCATTTATTTTTAAGCTTTAAAATTTAAAACCCATTTAAGGTTTACTCTTTAAAATTAAAGTGATCCATATATGACCCATTTATTTTTAAATGGGTCATATATGGGTTTAAGACCCATTTTGACACCTCTACTATGGACGTACGTCGTGACTTTTGATCTGTGACAGTGATTGTTAGATGCTCTAGACAGTGATTTCATACCCAAAACTATATATAACAACGGAAGTTTCCATAGTCCTTCGAGTGATCTATTCACCGATACCGTCCTAAAGAGATCATACCCTAATACATTTTTTCACGTTTCCTGTATAAAAATATCGTACAACACAAACACTTCAGAAGTGTTTCAATGAACGATTGAGATTTAATCTTTTATGTTCTAATGGTCACCAATCTTCGAGGGTCAAATCCCCCACAATTTGTACGACCGTAGGGATTCACTCCCGTATTTTCGAATAAGGTCCACCTCGAAGGCTCGCCGTTGTCCAATCCAATTAATTTCTAGAATGATAAAGCAAGTTCCTTTTCCCATCAATATGCACAGCACAATTAGTGGCCACTATAGAACAATGAGAATTATGCGCAAGTTCTCAATGTCCATAGCACATCAAATCAAATGCAAAACAGCAAGAACTCCTATAGTCCGAATGCTTCTCTCCTAGAATTTCTCTCCATATTGGATCTGAGAAATCCTAGAGGGCCCAATTAGCCACGATCAAGAGAATTCCACGGGCTCAGGCGCCAATGGACATCCACGGACCGCTTCGGCGTCGACGCGCGAATCCGACGGGCCCTCGATTTAGCCGGCGGCGCAGACATCGAGCGTCTTGGACTCGCGCGTCACCAAGAAAAGCAAGTCCCCAAATTTCGCCCGGCCGAGGACCTTCCGATGCTTAAGACCCTAGTTGGTATGAAGCTATATAGAGAATGTGTAGGGGTGTGGAGTTATGGAGGAAATAGACGGGCCACTAGTGGGCCTTAGGCTTTTGAATTTCACCGCAAAGCACACAACTTCTTTCTGATATCTCACTCTCTCATTCATACCAAGCTACAATTTGAAAATACGCAGACACGTGTCAGCTCGAGGGGCTTGCAGTTGACCAGTCTTAACAGTCATGTACGCATCGTGCGAATTCGAATGCATTTTTATACGACCATCAACTCATCTCGGATTAGATGAACTCCGAGCCAATGAAGTACCCCACCGATTGCGTCGAGCGAGTTTCATCTCGAGCTCCGAGTGAAATTTACTGATTCATTAGGTCGCGCCGAGTCGAGCTACCTTGGTGGTTTTATCGACTCCACCATCTTGACGGCTGCTTTATTTCACTGTATTGATGGCTGTATCCGAGATTGCTGACTCCATATATTTTGTTGATTTCCTCGTACTATCAATTTGTCATATTGTCGATTCGTCAAGTTGTCGAAAAAGAAAAGAGGGGGTAAAATAGGGAAACACGGCACTCGGCTTGAAGAGTCGGCCCAACTTTTCATCCCATGGGAAAAGAAAAGGAATAACGACATCCTAAATTTTGGCCCAACGAGCAATGCGGTCCCTGAACTTTTAATTTGTTCAATGTATTCCCTGAACTTTAGCTCAATGCGCAATGTGATCCATGAACATTTCATTTGTTCAATGTGGTCCCTGAACTTTTGGTTCATGTCATACATTGAACATTTTCATATAGAGGACAGGACCAGAAGTTCAGGAACCACATCGAACATATTAAAAGTTCAGGGATCACGTTGGCCATTTTCATATAGTCTGGGTCTACGTTGAACATCGATTACATGAACAAATTAAAAATTCATAGATCACGTTCCGTAGTGAGTCGAAGCTCAAATACCATTTTTGTCATTTTTTCAAAAGAAAACTGATCCCGACCACTGACGTGAACCTACGGAGCTTCCTGAGTGGGGGGGAACAAAGTCGTCGATTCGCATAAAATAACCCAAATCAAACATCCATCTCGGACAGTTCCCATCTGATCTTTTAGCTTTTTATCTGCCTATTCTGCACCATGAAGTTAGTCAGATCTTTTTTTGGTTTGGCCAAACGTTGGAAAGTGACATATTGGGTAGCACTCTTGATGGTCCAAAATTCATCTGCCCAATTAATCCCTCAATTAACCAAAATGATTGAAGCTAAATAGCTAGGGCAAATCTCCATGGATTAGCTAAATCAAAAAGGTCAACTGCAACGGGAATTATAAGATGGCCAATGTTTTTTCGGGACTCGTGATGTACGCGTATGGCTGGCTGATCTCGCCTTCGAATAACTCTTTTTTCTTTTGACGAGAGTACGAACGCAGAGGCTCGACTATCTGATGGTTCGTGAATGCTCTGCAAGTCAGGTGAACCCTGACTCGGTTTGCAATTTGAAAAAATCGCCCGACGCCTAGACCATCTGTGTTGACCTCGAGGGCTGCCTTCGAACGAGCTAATCATCGCGTTTCCAGATTCCCCGCAAAAAAGCCCCACGCCCACTTCCCCCCAAATTTTTTGTTCTTTTTTACATCCCATAGATCTCACCCCGTTACGCAAAGGCCCCTCTTCTCTTAAGCCAGTACGTTTCGGAAAAAAATTAAGATCGCGCATTGGATCGGGTCCGGCGATCATATCATGTTACCCGTCGGAAGTGTCGGTGGCTGATCCGTCGTAAAAGTGTTCCTATCCATTCTCGATCAGCAAATCACGATATGAGTTGATATTATAATGAACGCTCGTGTTGTAAAGTCATGCCCAAATTGTATGGAATGACGTGTTTGGAATCATGACCACGCCAGTTAATTGCCTCGGTCAAGAATTTGAATCATGACTTATTTCACTAATTATTGTTATTATTATTATAATTATTATTGTTTTGACATTTCCCTTGACTTTTACGAATTTCGCGTATTGCCTACACCAACCCCAATAGTCCCCATTTTCCATTTAAGCATCATTGTCCTGTCCCGTCGGCATCATTACAAGGTCAGAATATTAGTTATTGCGAGAATTAATTAAATTCAAAACGGATAATCCCATTTCAAATCATGGATAAGATGAGTAATTAAGAAACTATAATATAATGAGATGACAGGTCGATGTCGAAGTGTTGCCCTTCCATCGATATCTGCGGGGTCCTCCATTTCCATATACGACAAAATCCATAAAAAACAAGAACATGGGATCGAAGTATAATCCATTGCGACATGTCAAAGTGACGTGAAACTTTTTATTATGGCGGGAGATGAAAAAGAGAACACTTTTTTTTCGTGTTAAATATTGTAGATTTATTTAATAAAAAGATTTTTCGTTTTTACCGACGTAAAAAAAAAATTTGTATCATAATAAATGGGTACCTAACATTTATATTTGATTCATTTAAACAATCAAAAATCGTATCAAGTGTAGAACGAATTTAACATATGGATCTTATTTTTAAATATTGCAGGAGGCCCTATTAATTATATTCAATGAAATAATATTTTAATTTCAATGCACTGATTACGCAAGGTGAGGGAGAGGTTGTACTTTAAGAACGACAAACTTTCGTTATTTGAGTATTTCACGAATGCCTTCGTGACACTTATTAACAAAATTCTTTACATGCATATCGACCTTTATGGGCGTGCAAAATATGGAAAAGATCGCGATGGAGGAAAGTCAAACGCGATGCCGGTCATTTCATAGAATACATTTAAGTGATTGTAAGATGAGGAAGGAAAGTCTAATTCGAGACTCAGATAGAAGAGAGATTTATCAGACAACATGACAAATATGTGAACGTTTTAGAGTGCCATTTTCTGTCGGCACCTAATTATCAAGGCTCCCTTTGTTAAGTGTAAAATGAATTATTCGAAAAATCATTTTCCTAAAATTGTTCGCCCCGTATCGTTCGAAATAATTAGATAACAAAATTTATATCTAAACAAGATATTTTTTTTATTCTTTCATTTTTCGAAGCGATATAAATTATTACTTTTAGGGAAGTATTTTTCAGTTTCTTTATTTTTCCGCACGGAGCGTAACAGCGGTGTGATTTATTTTATTTATTTCTCAAATTACTGGTATTTCGCGAAATTTCTAAGCTGAAAACTCGAAATTAAAATTTATCTGGGAAATGCTTTATTTTAAATTTATTTATTTTTATATATATATTTTTTTTGGGGGTCGGAAATTAAAGATATTTATTTAAGAGTGGGTGAGAAGATAATGACGAGTCATCTGTTTTTTTAATGGCTCTTGGTGAAAACGAAGGGGTAGTGGTGGTGGGGACAGTGCCTCCAATGATTGAGAAATAATAAATAAAATAAATTATCTTCTCATAGTGCACAGAAGCATCTCTCGACCCCCGGTCCGAAGCAAGCCCCCGCGCTTCCCCCACGCGCGCCGGGCGACGCGCGCTGAGCCCCCACCGCACCCAGCTAGGCAGCTGGCGCGTGGGAACGACGGCGCGTGAGGGATCCGGCTCGTGGGGGTCGCACGCATGGCCCGCCGATGTCGTCACAGTTTGCAATTCTCCTAGGACAAGACAACCGCGTCGCCGCTCGCACGTGGCCACGCGTCCCCCCCTCCCCGCGCAGCCTCGTTGTCGCCATCGCGGGGGCCATTTTCTCTCTTTTTTTTTTTAATTTTATTTTTCTGACGCCTCACATTTTTCGCGTGTTTGTCAATAAAAAAACATTTTTCGCCTGTGACTGCCGACCTACCGGAAAAGAAGAAGGAGAAAGAAGAAAAATTTTTTTTAATTTTTTTTTAATAAATA